TTTTGTACCACGAAATGGCACTTTTCCCAATTAAGTAAAAGGTTAGTCTCTATATACCTTTTCAACACTCGGGTTAGGTTTGTAAGGCACACATCGAATGAGTTTCCTACCACTGAGAAATCATCCATTAACACCTCCATTATGTCTTCAACCATGTCGGTGAATATGGCCATCATGCACTTTTGGAATGTGGCGGGTGCATTGCATAGGCCAAAAGGCATCCTCCGGAAGGCATAAATCCCACATGTGAATGAGGTCTTCTCTCTGTTCTCTGGTGCAATGAAGATTTGGTTGTACCCTGAGTACCCATCCAAAAATAGAAGTGGGGCCTTCCTGCTAGTCTGTCAAGCATCTGATCAATGAAAGGAAGTGGGAAGTGGTCTTTCCGGGTGGCCAGATTCAATTTCCTATAGTCCATACAAATTCTCCAGCCCGTGACAGTTCTTATAGAGATCAACTCATTATTATCATTTTTTACCATCGTCATACCACTCTTCCTAGGAACACATTACACTGGGCTAACCCAATTGTTGTCAAAAATGGGGAAAATAATTCTCGCATTTAACCACTTAATAATCTGTTTCTTCACCGCTTCTTTTATGTTAGGGTTCAGCCTTCTTTGGTGCTCCCTGGAAGGTTTGTGCCCCTCTTCCAGCAGAATTTTATGCATACAATATGTCGGGCTGATCCCCTTAATGTCTGCCATAGTCCACCCTATGGCAGTCTTGCACTCCGTGAGTACCTGCAAAAGCTGTTGTGCCTACATATCTAACAAACTAGATGAGATAATAATAGGTAATGTGGAGTTAGGTCATAGGAACGCATACCTAAGATGGGCGGGCAGTGGCTTCAACTCCAGCTTTGGTGGTTCTTCTATGGATGGCTTGGCTGGAGGAGTTTCTCTTTTTCCTAAGTGCAGGGGCTCGAATTCAAGTGATCTCTCCCAAAAGCCTCTAACCTCAAGAGCCAGCACCCATTCTGCCAATTCTTCCCCATTCACCTCATCTAAATTCATAAGACATGTAGCAAGAGGATCCTCAATAGTCAATGTCTCATCATCCTCTTCCACGATTACATCCACGACATCAATAAGAGAATAATTGGCGAATTCACTTGGTCGCCTCCTAGATTTCTACACGTTGAATATTATCTCCTCATCGTTCAACCTCATCTTGAGCTCCCCAGTTTCACAATCAATGAGGGCTCGTCCTGTGACCAAGAATGGACTTCCCAAAATTATGGAAATTTCTTCATCCACTCTACAATCCAGAATCACAAAATATACACGGAACACAAATTTCCCTACCTGTATCAACATGTCATCCAAAATACCTGAGGGTCTTTTCACAGTTCTGTCAGCCAGCTGCAACAACATAGACATGGGTTTATCTCTTCCAATCCCCAACCTCTTATAGATCGCCAGGGGAATAAGATTTATGCTAGCCCCCAAATCACAGAGTGCCTTGGCAAAGGCAAAGTTACTAATGGTGCAAGGAATTGTTAAACTCACTGGATCAGACAACTTTTCAGCAACTGGTCTAGTCACCACAGCACTGCAGGTCTGAGTTAGAGTCACTGTGGCGAAGTCTTGGAAGTCAAATTTTCGGAACATCAAGTCCTTCGTCATTTTTGCATAACCAGGCATCTCCTTCAAAGCATCAATCAATGGAATATTTACCTGAATTTGTTTCAACATCTCTAAGAATTTCTTGTATTGTTCCTCTTTCTGGTATTTGGCCAGCCTCTGTGGGAATAGTGCTGGAGGTCTCTTCTTCCCAGTGATTTGGGTTTTCTCTTTGTCAGACACCGCCTCAACTAGCGATTCCTAGGCTGTCTCAGCTTCTTTCTCAGCCTCAACATGTGTGTTGGTTTCTTCCTGGGCAGGTTGTACTGTCCCCTCTATCAGTTTTGCTAAATCATCTAGCTCAATGGGCACCGGTACAAGTGTCTCATCCTGTCTGTTTTCTCGAGCCCTCTCTTGCTCCAAGTCTAGGTTTATGCCATTACATAGACTCACTGCCATCAGCTGCTTTGGGCCTTGATTTTTTGGATTTACCTGAGTGTCTGCAGGCAACATCCCATGAGGACGATTATTCAAAGACATTGAGATCTGGCCCATTTGCACTTCAATATTCTTTATGGATGACTCATGTGCATCTACTCTTTCACTCATTTTCGCATTTGACCCAACTACTGCATCATTGCCTCGAGTCTGGCAAACTCATCTTCCTGTCTCCCACCATGTTGCTGCTGAGGAGGATGATAACCCTGCTGTTGATTTTGGTTGTTGTACCCCTATGGCATTTGGTCGGACACTACATTATTGTGAGGTCGTATGGTTTCCATATTTCCATTGTTGTGTTGTGGTTGGACTGGCCTGTATGGCTGATTCTGTTAGCCCCAATTCTAACCACCCTATCTCTGGCCCCCATAATTAAACACATAATTCATGTCCTCAGGGTAATGATGATGATCATTTTCCGCATTCCACTGGCTACCAATTGGCTAACTAATGCAAGATGTGCATAAGCCCCTATTGGTTGTATCTACAATGTGCACCTGCTGCTTCTGCCCTGACTCTTCCACCTTTTTGGTGAGTATGCTCATTTGTGTCATTAAGGCGACCATATTTTTAGCAAGAGTATTGGCTAGATCTAAAGCCACTGAGTGAACTACTAGAGTGATAGGTGCATTTCTGGTTGTCCACCCCGAATTCTGTGTCATCTTGTCAAGCAGGATCTGGCTTTCTCTTTATGATTTGCTCAAGAATGCTCCATCAGCTGAAGCATCAGCATTAGCCTTCACGCTATCTGTCAGACCCATGTAAAACAGCTGCCCCAACATCTGCTCTGGAATACCGTGGTATGGACATATAACCAACATCCCTTTGAATCGTTCCCATGTTTCTTGCAATATTTCCATTGGTTTCTGTTTGAAGCTCAAAATTTCATCAATTTGTTGAGCAGTCTTGTTGGGTGGATGAAACTGATTCACAAATTGCTTGACTAATTCCTCCCAAGTCGTGATGGAATTAATAGGGAGTGAATTTAGCCAAGTCTGGGCAGCTCCTGTCACTGAGAATGGAAACAACAACAGCTTTATTGCTTCCTGAGTTACGTTGGGCCGTCTTTGAGTTTTGCATATTGACAAGAAATTCTTCAAGTGCTATTGAGGATCTTCAATGTATGACACCAAATATAGTCCCTTGTTTTGCAACAAGTGCAGCATGTTGTTTATGATTTGAAAAGATTCAGCCTGTATCTATGGGACTAATATCGTTATGACCAAATTCTCTTATGTGGGTTGTGCCTAGTTATATAGAGAAGCCTCTTGCACTAGAGGCACCACTACCTGCGCAGCTGGGTCTAGTACGTTATCCCCGTTGTTGTCTCTATATTTTACCTGGTTTGCCATGTCTGGTTCAGATTGTTCAGTTGATTGTTGTTTGTTTTTCCAGTTGGCCCAATTCAAGGCCTTGAAAACTTTCTCGGGATCTGATAATGCTTCAAACACTTTACCAGTTCTTGATGAGTTTCTAGGCATGCACCTGTACAACCAAGTTAGCAAACGTTAAAATTTCAATATATGGATTGACAATGAAGAAAATTGACTACACTAAGAATTTTTGTATTTCTTTCAACTGTAATTGATAACACCGTTAATTCCCCGACAGCGACGCCAAAATTTCATCACGCCCAACTATGCCTTATAACAAGGACAAGCGGTCGTTGCAAATATAGGTATTTAGCCCATAGTCGAATCCCACAGGGAATTAACCTACCAATTACTTTTGTCAGACTCACTGAATTCTCCGTAATCAGCTTCCCAAATATTTTGAATAACACTTGGTGATATTTCTACTAAAGAATAAAATTAAGTAAACTAAAAGCTAACTATGACTTAGTTGTAAACAAATAAGAGAAGGACCTAAGGTTGTAATTTTTCCTATTGATGGAATCCCTACCTGTTATGTATCGTATAGATTTGCCTAATCGTCTCTATCGATCATGAGCACTCTTACTACCGTAACTCTCTCCCGAGTAATTACGACAATTTACTAGACGCACTCTTCCGAGTTACGCTAGCTGGCTTTTATTACAGCTCATTTAGATCGCACCCAAGGTTTCGTTATCCCTAATCCCACCTTTAAACCCTTGGTTATTGATTCTTCATATACTTTGGGAGTAGTGTTGTTCAACTACTACCTAAATATGTACTCTCTCTCTCTCGAATAATACATATTAAATAGGCACAGCTAATTGAGGATCCTATCAATTAACTACAACAAGAACGTAGTTGAACAAATAGAGATTAAACTGGGAAAACTATATTAACACAACAAGAAGTTCATCCCTCAACAGGTTCCATCAAAACCCTAGACTAAATAATTAGCTACTCATAATCGTGTTCATAATAAAAACAGCAAAATTCATCATGAATGATAAAAACAAAAGGAATAAAGGTAGAACTCGTTGTCGTATTATCCTCCTTGCCTCTTGCCTCTTCTTGCCTTGAACAAAACTATAAAAATCTTGATATCCTTGCTTTAATTTAGCTCCAAACATTGTCCTAAGTCCTCATAAGCACGACTTGCTCCTTCAAAACATAAAATTCACAATTAGAGCCATTCTATCGTCATTTAACCTTCCTAGAACAGTGAAGCACAGTCAAGTTGGGGCATAAATAGTCGCCAAACTACATGAATCTAGCCTATTATCAATGACCATATGAGAAATTAACAATAAATTTTAAGAAAACTCGTAAATTGGATGACTATTTGAGAAATCCAAAAATCTAGCATTTCTCGCATCAGAAAATTGATTATCCGATCAAAATAACTTTTTATTAGGGTTGTGTTAAATTGGATGCTTTTATAATGAGAAAAAAAGAGTGACTAAACTTAGTAATTAGCTTAAGCTGAATGACCATTTGAGAACTTAACTCTTCGTTAATTTTGTATTACGAACTCTTAATTACTCACTCCCATTTGATATGTCTAGGTATGACATAGCTCTTGAAGCTAATGTAAATGGTCCATGTCAACTCATGATGTTTGCCAAGAAATGCAAGAAATTAAAACTTCTTATGCATTATTCCACAGGTATGCATGCATTTGAATATTCTTTAAAATAGAGCATATTTTTCTAGATATAATATGCATTTAATTACAATAAAGAATTATCTTATTTGCATATTTCATTTAATTTTTAAAGCATATGCCAATGGAGAAAGAGAAGGCTTAATTTTGGAGATGCCATTTACCATGGGAGAAAGCATAACAAAGGAAAAAATCACTTCATTTTCTCCTTTTACTAAATTTTCATCCCTACATGCTATGAGTGAAATGGACTTAGTTTCAAAGTTGAAGAATGCTATTACTACAAACAATGGTTTGGAGCAAATAATGAAGGATTTAGGCATTGAGAGGTATTCTTTTGTTTCTCACCCAATGTTCGATATTTGTATTGAGGCCCGATTAAATTTCGATTTGCGCTGAAAAGTCCAACAATTATTGTTATAATTATAGGGCGAAGTTATATGGATGGCAAGATACATATTCATTCACGAAGGCCATTGGCGAAATGATGATTGATAGCATGAGAGAGGAAATACCAATACTCATTCTTCGTCCCTCTATGATAGCAAGTAGTTTTAAAGAACCTTTTCCGGGATGGATACAAGGATTCAGGTGTCGTTTTCTTTATTCGACTTTTTCTTTCTATTGTCCTTATCAGTCACATTTTTCTATAACAGTCATACTATTATCGTATTGAACTTTTTTCTTCTTTATTCATAGTGTATATATATATTCAACCAAAAATTAATATAATGTTTCTGACTTTTTATGTTCTCTCTCTTAGGGTAATTGACCCTTCAGTTTTTTTATATGGAAAAGGGGACCTCCCAGCCTTTCTTGGTGATCCAGATTGTCTTGTTGATGTTGTAAGTACAATTCTCTAATATATTTTAGTTGTTAAATTGCATCTGTTGTACTTATTAAAGCATGTGACCATCCCCTTTAAAAATTTTAAAAAGAAAATATTTTTATTTGTTACTTAATTACAGTCAAAGCTCTCTATAATAGTCATTCTTTAAATACATTTCACTATAAGAGCCAAATTTTTCTGAAATTGATTTTTCATGTTATCTTATATTATATGTTCTCGATAACAGCATTTTGCTATATCAGCCATAAAATATAGGTCAAATAACATAATTATAGAAAAATTTGATTGTATATCTTCAATGCATACACCCCCTCACGTGTGAATGTACACCTTTTTCATGAGCCAAACACGCGATATTTTTTTAAATAATAGTTTGTAGTGAGACTTGAACCCAAAATCACTGCTTACTTTATAATACCATTTTGAGGAGTGTGTGACTATTCACATCGAAAAGCTTAAACTATTAGATTAAATTATTAGAGATAAAAATACTTTTATTTACGTAATTATTTCTTCAACATTCAGATATATATTTTGCATATTAGGCTCAAAATCTCATATTCTTCTTTTCACAATGCTATAAATATTTCATAAATCATTTGATTAATCAATTGTATTAATTATCTAACTATTTCTTTACTTAGTTTAGGTTCCTGTTGATCTGGTTGTAAATGCTACAATGGCTGCAATTGCTAAGCATGGATATTTACAAAGTCCAGAAGTCAATGTCTATCATGTGGCATCAACATTTGTGAATCCTTTCTCATTATATCAACTTTTCAACTATTGCTATGAATATTTCACTTCATTTCCTTTAGTTAACTCAAAAGGAGATAAAGTGGAAGTCAAGGAGATGAAATATTTTGACAAAATATCAGACTTTTCAAATTATATTTGGGAGGAATTATCAAGGCAACATAATGTACAAGATTTAACTGAAAAAGAGCTATTGAAGACTCAAATGCGGTTTAAAAGAAAAGTGGAATATTTGAAGCACTTTTGCAAACTCTATGAGCCATATGCATTCTACAAAGGATGGTAAGATTTTTTTTTTTCACTTAAATACATGAGTAGTTTTAGTAGATATTATTATAAATTATATGGCTTTCACAAGTCAAAATTATTTAATTAGTATAAGAGTTACAGCATGGTGAAGGAGAACGTTAGAGCAACGATAAATTTGTCTTTGTATGATTTATATGTCAGGTGTTCGAGCCGTGGACAAGAGCGAAGCAACATAGTCCTAAGGGTGGTCAATTGACCATCATTCGTCGAAAATTTACTGTGCATATAAGTAAAATATTAAGTTTTAGAGGTATATAGCATATATTGAATACCCTTTATCGGAAAATATTTTTTAACTACTTTCAAGTTTGAACACCCTTGGCGAAATTCCTGGCATCGCCACTGGCCGTGGAAGTAGCCACTAATACTTGAATTAGGGTAAGCTATCTACATTACACCCTCTTAAGATATACCTTTCCCGTACTCTGCATGCACGTGGGATACCCTGTGAACCGAGCCGCCTTTTTGTTTAGTTACGTTGCAGCATGGTGTTTGCAATTTTACTGTGCACCACTTTTATTCCACAACTTTTACCTTTTTTTTTCTTTTTTTTTATCTTTTCTCCACAAGTATCAAAAATCTGTTTCCTATCTTAAAATATATGTCCAGTCAAATTTCTATCATATAAAATTAAGCAGATGAAGTAATATATAGTTAAAGTTATTATGTAATTCTCTTTTTTCTCCTACTTGCAGGACAGAAAGGTTAGTCTAAGACCAGATATTATATATACTTAAAGATGAATTAGAGTAAATTGTTTGTGCTTAATTTTAATTTATTTTCTTTTTTTCTTCTTGTAAGGTTTCACGTTGGCAACATGAGAAATTTAATGGAAGAAATGTCTGAAGAAGAGAGAATAAGCTTTGAGATTGATGCATCAAAGATAAATTGGAGAGATTACTTAACAGAAATTCACATTCCTGGTGTGAAAGAACATGTATTGAAAGGAGGAAGACTACCTTCCTAATAATTATATATTGGCAAAGAACATTTAGTTGTCTTTGTATTACAAACTTTTGCTTCCTCTATTGTGAAAGGAAAGAAATGGAACTAGTTTTAAAATTTCATTTTAAAGAGTTTTACTCTGTGTTTTACCCTCAAACTGTGTGTTTTAATTTGCTACTAATGTTTATATTAGAGTAGGCTGTTGACATTACACCTTTTGGGGTGCGGCCTTTCCCCGAATCCTATGTGAATGCAGGATGTTTTATGCACCAAGCTGTCCTTTTTGTTGAAAAGGGCATGACAAGTGACAAAGATAGAAATTTCACTTACTTAATATATTTTTTTATATATACAATATAAGTATTCAACAAAAAATGTTCCACTGATCACCCTTCACTGTACATGGCTATGTGTAACGACCCGACCTGTCGTTTTAAGCATTTCCATCCCGTTCAGCTATTTGAAGTCTTGAGTAGCGTCTTTTTGTGTATTATGACTTGCGAGAGTGGTCAAGTTTTATTTTCAGATGATTCAAAATTTAATTGAAAGAACAATCCATGTTTTGGAAGCTTAAGTTGAATAAATTGACCGGATGATAAAATATGTGTAAACGACCCCGAAATAGATTTTTGATGATTCCAATAGCTTCGTATGGTGATTTCGGGCTTAGGAGTGTGTCCATATATTTATTTTGAGGTCTGTAGCTAAAGTAGGCTTGAAATGGCGAAAATAAGAAATTTAAGTTTGGAAGTTTGACCGGTGGTTGACTTTTTGATATCGGGGTCGGAATCCAGTTCTGAAAATTTGTATAGCTTTGTTATGTTATTTATGACTTGTGTGCAAAATTTAAAGCCATTCCGGATTGATTTGGTATGTTTCGGTGCAAAATGTAGAAGTTGGAAGATTCGAAAACTCATAATTCAATTCGATGCACAATTCATAATTTCAGTGTTGTTTGACGTGGTTTGAAGCCTCGATTAAGTTCGTATTGTATTTTGGGACATGTTGGTATAATTGGTTAAGGTCCCGAGGGCCTCGGGTGGATTTTGAAAGGTTAACGGAATGGAAATCGGACAAAAAGGGTTGCTGGAATTTTCTGCTGCAGAAGCTGTCTTGGACAACTATGCAATCGTGGAGCCTATTTTGGAAGCTTATATCTCGAAATCCATAAGGAATCTGTAAATGTGCAAAACATAAAAATTGTAGCCCTTGCATCCAAGTTTCCATAAAGATAAACCATTAATCATTTGAATATTTGTACAAAACGTTATGATCGATTGAATAAAGGTTGGTAAAGTTGTTTTGAAATTTTTCAGAAATGATTGATGCGAGGAGGCTACTTTGGAAGCTTATATCTCGAAATCAATAGAGAATCTGAAAAATTTCAAAATATGAAAGTTGTATCCCTTGCATTGTAGTTTCCAGAAAGTTAAACCATTCATCATTCTGATATTTCTACTGAAAGTTATGATAGATTTAGTGAAGGCCAGTACTGCCTTTTGTGTTGGTTGGAAATAAGTGCAAGTCACATTTCATAATGCGACTTGCCTGGAAAATAGCTTATTTTCGGGAATAAGCCATTTTTATTCATTCTTGACTATTGTAGAGCTCGGGAAAAGCAATTTTCAACAAATTTTTCAAGGGAAACATTTGGGGTAAGTGTTCTATATCCGAAAGTGATTATATTTCATAAATCCATGGTTATATTCATCGTTTAATTTGGATTTAAATGGAAGAAATTGGAATTTTTGAAAAAAAATTCAAAAATGAAAAGATAAGATTTGGAGGTCGAATGTTGTTGGAATTTGATAATTTTGGTATGGTTGAACTCGTATCGGAATGGGTTGTCGGATTTTATTAGTTTCGCCGGATTCCGAAACATGGGCCCCACGGGCGAATTTTGAGTGCAATTTCGGATTTTTAATGAAAAATGTGAAATTTCATAGGAAATTAATTCCTGTAAATGGTATTGATTGAATCAAATTATTTGTGGCTAGATTCAAGGCATTTGGAGGCTAATTTGAGAGGCAAAGGCATTGCGGAGTAGGATTTTGCTCGGATTGAGGTAAGTAATGGTTATAAATCTGGCCCTGAGGGTATGAAACCCTGGACATTATATTGTATGACTATTATTTTGAGGTGAAGCACACGCTAGGTGGGGGGCGTGTGGGCGTGCACCGTAGGGATTGTGATTTAGTCCGTCCCGCGAGACTGTGGAATCAATTGGCCTACTGTTTAATATATATTCCCTATGTTTTCATGGACATTGACTGTACTTCATGTTAGAAATCATGTTTAGGTCTTATGTGATCATTGTTGAGACCTGAGAAGTCGTGTACTTGCTGAATTAGCTGCTAATTGTTGTTTTGTACTCAGTCATAGCTTTTTTTGCTTATTATGCCTCTGTCTCTTGCTGTTCATTGTTGATACATGACATTACTTCTGTTTGGGTTGTTTATATGATTTCCGAGAGCCCAAGAGAGACTGGAGAGATTGATGACTGAGTGAGACCGAGGGACTAATTGTGAGGTTATTAATATTATAGCACATGAGTTGTCCGTACAGCACGTGAGTTGTCCGTGCGAATTCAGATATTTTATTATAGCATGTGAGTTATCCGTGCAGCACGTGAGTTGTCCGTGCAGCACGCGAGCTGTCCGCGCAGATCCAGATATTTTATTATAGCACGTGAGTTGTCCGTGCAGCACGCGAGCTGTCCGCGCAGATCCAGATATTTTATTATAGCACGTGAGTTGTCCGTGCGGATCCAGATATTATATTATAGCACATGAGTTGTCCGTGCAACACGTGAGTTGTTTGTGCAGTTTATAGCGCTTAGGCTGAAGGAGCCCCTTCGGAGTCTGCACACCCCCAGTGAGCGCAGGTACCTATTGAGTATGATTATTGAGGGCTGAGAGCCGAGTGATTGAGTTGTTGAGATGATGAGCTGAGTGAATGTTGCCTTGGGAGGCCGTATTTGATTTCAATTAATTATTGCACTTAGTTGATATTTGTCCTTGCTGTACAGATTTCTGAAGGATCTAATATCTGGTTTATTGAGCACGCACTGGTGTGCCTTAAATTTTTAAATTTGAAAGCATGGCTATTCTTATTTGGAAGTTACTAAGATGACTGTATTTGTATAGCTCGTCACTACTTCTCAGTTCCTTATTTATTTCTGTTACTTACTAAGTTGGTGTACTCACATTACCCCCTGTATATCGTGTACAGATCTAGACACTTCTGGTCACGACGGTTGTTGATTGAAGAGTCAGGCCCAGGAGATTATCGAGGTAGCTGCATGGTGCCCACTGACCTTGACTCTCATTTTCCTTTCATTTTGTATTGTTCTATATATTTCCAGACAGTGTTTTATCAGTCATATGTTGTTGTAATTTAGATGCTCGTGCACTAAGTGACACCGAGTTTTGGGGATGGATTGTATAGGAATTTTGGAGTTATATTCTATTTTTAAAAAGGATTTCTTTAATATCAACTGCTTCCGCCCTCATTTAAAAGTTCTACTGTATTGCGATATTGAGTTGAGGCTTGCCTAGTACCACGATAGGCGCTATCCCGACAGGTGAGATTTCGGGTCGTGACAAGTTGGTATCAGAGCACTAGATTACATAGGTATCACGGGTCATGAGCAGATTTAGTAGAGTCTTGTGGATTGGTACGGAGACGTCTGTACTTATCTTCGAGAGGCTGCAGAACCCTTTAGGAAATTTCACATTCTTGAATTCTTATCGTGTGATATTGATTAAACTTGAAGCGTAATTCTTTGAACTCCTTCCACGTATTCATGTGCACACATGAGTGCTCGGTATCGGCTTTCGACAGTTTGGGATTCCATGAATGATACACGAAAGGTGATTAGTGTACTGATGATGGGCCAGTCTGGGAGACTTGAGGCCAGGTGTAGACCGCAGCTAGGGTTCGGTAGTTTCAGTTGTGAAAACTTGTGCATTGGGCTTATGTGTCTGATAGTGTTCTTATGAGTTGAAATTGTGGCTCGATGAGCGGTTAAATGGCTATATGATGAGTAGGAGGTGAATGTGGGATGTGTTCAAATGGTTGGAATGTGATGAGAGGAGTTGCTTGAAATGTCTTGATTGATTTATCATCTTGAGCTATGGGTCTATTGAAGGATCTTTCACGTGGTGTACGTGTGGAACAAATTAAATTCTCATGAATTGTAAATGAGTTCAGACTCAGGGACATTAAATGATTGCATAGTAATTGTGTTTGCGAAAAGAGTATAGAAAAATGCCAGCTTGAGGCTAAGCAGGTGAATTATCACTTGCGAAATAAACTACAGAGGTGTGATCTTTACAATGTTGCGTGGAGAATTTTTCTTTTCTACCCATAGGGTAAATGTATTTAGATTGAATTGGAACTAGTCAAGAAAGTTAACCTAACTGTCACGAAAGTGAAGGCGAGCTTAGTAGACGGATTGAGGAACCATATAAATTGTGTTGCATGAGCTTGGAAAGAATTTAGTCAAATTGCACTAAAATGTTATGGCAATAACTAGATATGTGTATTGTAAATTATTGAATTTTCGGATCTATGGCTTTGAGCCAAGTGGGGGAGTCCGCTATCGACAATTTGATTTCATGCTTATATGTTGAACTTAGGTTTTGTTTCAAAACATGCTCGTAGGTTGGTTATGACCTGCAGAGGTTGGGATTGGGGAAGACTAGGATAATGAAATTCCTAAATACGGGTTATACTACGCTTTATGAGTATATTAAGATCATAGGATGATTAAGTTATTAATTGTGAAGAATGTAATGCGCATGGAACGTGAATGCGACCAGTGGTGTTAAGGCAGAGTTATTCCCTTGAGTGTTGTTGTGATAATGGGACATGTGTCATTTGGTTTGTTTAGGCAATTCAATATAGATTTGAGCAGAGTAGATAACTCTTGAAAGAATTCTTATCGATTCAGAAATGTATATGTAGCAATTGAAAATTTTCCGGATCTATAGCCGCTAGAATCAATTATTTACATTGGATGGTACCGAGACTTGCGGTAATTCTGTATGACTATGGATTCTATACTCCAGTATAAAGGAGGTAAAAAGATTTATTTTAAGGTACTTTTAGAGTGGGCATTTTGATTG